CAAGTTGGTCAGTGAAAACTTTGGAAATCTTTTCTTTGTACTTTTGTCAATTGAGTAAAAGTTAAATTGAATTAACAAATCACAGATTTTATCATTTGACAAAACATTTATTTGTAAGCAAACTTTGAAATATTTTCACAAAATTTATGAAATATAGTAAAGTAGGGTTACCATTTCTTCCATTTGCATGCGTAAATGGGGTATTTACCCACCAAAATAACCATGTCCACTATGTCAGAAAAATTCAATATATTCTCAAAAAACTGTATTTTCTCAGAGGGCCAGCTTGTTCTGTTTATTGTGAAGATGATTTTGGACAATTGTATGTGACCCTATATATGTAAAACCAATAAAAAATGTATCCCCCCCTAAAAAAAAAACAAAACAAAAAAATGTGTTTTTTTAAACTAAGGGATAAATGTTATTATTTTTCACTGAAAGCTAATTGAAAACATCCAAACATATCACAGCAGTAAAAAGGGTGATCAAGGGTTCCAGGAATGGAAGAACAAACTAAGATCTCTTCTGTAAAAATGTCACTGAGGATATGCTCTAAACAGGAATTTTTATTTAGTCTTTTTACATTTGGGGCAACAAGGTGTATATCAGCATCTCAACAACACTGAAGCTGTAGCAATGAAAATCACCAACATGCTTAAAAACTCTGTAAATTAATGTTATTACACTAATTTTAAAATAATTTACTGTAAAAAAAAAAAGTACTTCACTGTCTTTTTGAACAATTCAATTCATCCTTCAATTAAAGTAATTTCTTAAAAATCGTAATGATCCCATACATCTGAATTACTGTGAATACAATAACAGTCGTCATTATAAACACAAAATAATAATAATCAACTTTAATATTCAGTGAGGACTAGGTTTTATTTGATTTGGGGAGGGGGGCGGTGAGGGACCTGGATAATGGGTGGGGGGGCACTGGCCCAAAAAATGTTGAGAACCACTGGTTTAGAGCATAACCATACCGAACCGTGACGTCAAGACCGAGGTACATACCGAGCTGTCATGTTTGTGTACTATGTACAGTGCCCTCCATAAGTACTGGGGCAATAAAGACAAAATTGCTCTGTTTGCTGTGGAGTCAAGAAATCTGTAAATATGATTAAAAGATGAATACGAGACAAAACTACAGAATGTCACATTTTATTATTGGGCGATTCAACAGATGTTTTACCAGCTAAGATCAGCACTTTTAGAGTTCATCCCACATCTGGTGTGAGCATAAATATTGGAACAGTTGCCTCGCAGGTCTTTCCAAGCGATCAGCTGTATTAATTCTTCAGATATTAAAAGCAGGGAATGTGTGGTATCAGTTATATCCATTGCTTCTGCATTCTGAGTCTTGCATTCGATGACGACACACACAAACCAGGATGAAGACGAGGGAGCTGACATAAGACAAAAGCAAGCTATTTGGCTGCTAAAAGAAAAGAGGAAGTCAATTAAAAACAAAGGGCATGGAGCAATAAAGAGCTTGGAGACCACCGGAGACATCAGCAACCAACAACGACCTGATCGGCTGAGAAAAACAACAGCAGTTGATGACAAATCATAAAAGCTGTGAAAATGAACCCTAAAATACATGACTGGAAAATCAGCAACAAGCTCCAGAAAGCTGGGTGATGCTCTGACGATCTACTGTCCGCAGGAGACACTGACACAGAATTACACAGGCTACAGCAAGATGCAAACCTCTGAGCAGCACCAAAAACAGAAAGGCAAGATTAGAGTTTGCAAAAAAGCACAAAGCTGAGCCAGTGGAGTTTTGTGGACAGATGAGACAAATATGAACCTTTATCTAAGTGATGGCAAAGCAAAAGTGTGGAGGAAAAAGGAACTGTAAATGATCCTGAGCATACAGCCTCATCTGTAAAGCATGGAGGAGGTGGAGTCATGGCGTGGGCATGCACGGCTGTCTCTGGAACAGGTCCTCTCAACTTTGATGATTTAATGTTTGATGACAGCAGCAGCATGAATTTGGAAGGCTACAAAACCATCTTGGCTACCAACATTCAAGAAAATGCCACCAGATTCATCCGAAAGCGCTTCACATTGCATCAGGACAATGACCCAAAACACACTGCCAGTTCAGTAAAGGACTTTATCAGGGCAAAGAAACGGAAAGTCTTAGATTGCCCAAATCAATCTCCAGATTGAAATCTAATTGAACATGAATTTCACCGGCTGAAGAGGAGACTAAAGGCAGAAACTCCCCAAAACAAGCAACAGCTGGAATTGGCTGCATTAAAGACTGGGGAAAGCATTTCAAAGGATGAGACCACGAGTCTGGTGATGTCTAGACACTGCTCTGATTGCATGCGAGGGATCTGCAACTAAATAACTTTATATCTTTACATCTGCCTTACGTTCATCTGTCCCAATACTTATGCTCACATCAGAGAGTGGGATGAACTCTAAAAGTGCTGTGCTTTTTATTTGGTAAAGCATGTATGTGTTGAAACCCAATAATAAAATGTGACATTCTGTAGTTTTGTCTCAGATTCATCTTTTAATCATAATTGCAGATATCTTGACTAATGACTATACAGCAGACAAAGCAATTTTGTCATTACTGTCCCAATAATTATGGAGGGCAGTGTATATGTATATAAATTAGACCAACACAAAATACTATGACAGTTTGTTGAAGATACTTTTTCCAAGTCATGAAAAAAAAAAGCATTTTCAACTTTTTATTCCATCCAGTCACATTATATGCATCTATAGAACATCCAATTTACATCTTAAGAAATCTCTTCTCAACTCTCCTTAAAATGAGATGACAAAAACATCCTACATCAGTGATAACGTTTATAGGAGTGAACCTTACATTTTCAGAATATCATAGCTAAACTTTTGCCTTATTTTGAAAAGCAAATGTACTTTTATCTACCATTTTAATCTGTGAATATTTCTGTTTTTATAGCTGTGCTTTTTGGCACACAAACATAAAGTACCCTCATGGTATTTCATTGAAAAAAGGACATTTTCTTTGCTACCATTTCTCGATGTAATGCAGAACATTTACATGTACATGAATGCTTATTCTTCTATAAAGATTTTGTGAATGATGGAATACATCATTGAAACTCAAAACATTATAGCAACAAATTTCAGCTTGAACTAGGGTTGTCAGATTACACTCTGTAATCTTAATTAAACTTGAACTGTAAAACTGAACTGTAACTTCTGCACCCAAAAAACATCAAACAAGTCTCCCCAAAAACCCCGGTCAGTCCCCAAACACTAGCAAAACATGCTCCACTGCTTGAGCCAGACCAACAGAAATGTTTTACATTTGGGAGAGGGACTGTTTACTGCAAGTTCAATTAATTCTTCACTGCACATGTGGAAGAGATTGGGGAGTTCGTGGCTAGTGTTGCACACTTTCTTATATTTATTATTGGTGTTCTTTGCCTTTAGTATATATTACAGTAGAGAGCAAAGAGGAAGCAAATAACCAACAGTGTCTGGCATTACTTTAACCTTTAAAAAAAAGTGCATACACAATTGGGATTTGAGAGCTGTAGCAGAGGGGCCAGCAATTAATGACTTAAAAATCACAGTGTTCATGCTCTTCAGGAAGTATTGTAAAACATTTCCCCAGTATTACACTCTTTGCACTGGCTGCCGATTTGTTATAGAATTGATTTCAAAATTAAACTTTTTGTTTTTAATGCTCTGTCATTAAGGTCATCTCAACAAAGATTGCTGATGCTTCTGAGATTTAGGGCCTCGTTTATAAAGTGTGCGTCGCTCAGAAAAAAAAATCACGCCAGCGTTCATATTTGTAAAAACGGTCTTTGACGTGGAAAAGTGTTTAGCGTCACGCTAAACTTTTGCCTTATTTTGAAAAGCAAATGTACTAACTCTGGCTATTTTAATCTGTGAATATTTCTGTTTTTATAGCTGTGCTTTTTGGCACACAAACATAAAGTACCCTCATGGTATTTCATTGAAAAAAGGACATTTTCTTTGCTACCATTTCTTGATGTAATGCAGAATATGTACATGAACGCTTATTCTTCAATAAAGATTTTCTAGAGTGTTACCAACAGCACAGCATTTTAAGCATCACATTACATTATCTAGACCTACACACGAAGCATTAGAATAAACAGGGGCAAGATGAAGCATTCAGATACACGAGACAGAAAAAAAGAAAAGAAAAAAACAAGCGCATTCAAAAATTCCCTTTAACGACAGGTGTAATTAGACATGAAAATGGGTCAGAAAAATTTATGAAAAATTGAGCTGTCTTGCCCTATTAGTGTATTAAATTCAGTATGTACATTAACGGGAATAATCAAAGAACATGATATTTATGAATTCAACATTCTTAAAAGTTTAAGACATGGCAATATGTTACAATGTTGTATTTGAAAGAAAAGAAATCTATATACAGCAAGACATCCATCGTTGCAAAGCATTTAAGATACATTTCCAAAGAATTTCCCCCCCAATGTGTAAATATGTGCAGATGATCAGTTGACTTCAATACACAATTTAAAAGAGGGACCAAAAAAACAAAAACAACATTTTTAGTGACAAAGCAGTATGTACAAACTTCAAGATAATTTACGATTCATAGATTTCACATCTGAGAGGCGTACGTGTGTTTTCTGTGCATATGTTCATTCTATGAATCACACATACGCATATTTGAGAGACGATAGCAAGATCAAATTTAGGATGGTTTCTGTGCAACATTTTATAAATGAGGCCCCTAGACTCAAGTCGAGGGGTGACCGAGCTTTTATTTTGTTTATCCTTGAGATTAATCTCCACAGAGTCTGAATTTAAATTTAAGTTCAAAACTTACCTTTTCTCTCAGGCTTACAACTGCTTTTGATTTTTAAAGTTGAATTTTCTGATGGGTGTTCTTGATGTAAACTTTATGATTGCTTTGTGGTTTTTTTAGATTTTTATTTGTCTTTTTTGTTCAGCACAATGGTCAACTACTGTTGTTTTTATTTGTGCTATATGACTGATTTGATTTGATCATGTAGATCAAACACGTCCTTACTCACCATACACGCGGCCTGTACGGCCTCACTTAGACTTGCAGCGTTTGGATCACACCAGAACATGTGACAGATGAAGTCTCCAGGTCCCTCTGCCATTATGAATGCAAACGTGTGCACATCCTTCCCAACTCCCATAAATGCCAGGAAACGCACACGACATTCAGAAAGAACTTCCTCCGTCTGTGACAATGAGACAAGAAATATCAGTGTGGTTATCTAATCAGATTTTTATGATACAGCATTACATATACTACTCAAATACTGCAGAAGGTCAACAAACAGAAACCTGACCTCAGAAGTCAGAATAGTGAGTGTAGCGGACGCCACGTTCACAATCACAGGTGTCCAATCCTCCTTGTCTTTGCTGTTAAGAGCAGTCTCCAATGCTACATTAATCACATCCATGCCTTCAAGAGACAGATACCGACACAACTCAACTTCAATTTCAGGCAGCTAACTTTGATTTAAACATGAAATGCATACATGCTATTTTAAGTGCTTACAGTGTATGACATAGCTACACAAAAATGGGGAAAATGCAGGTAAAACTTGTACTTTGTGTATAATAGTATAATGCAGTGCAGTATAATAGCAGTTAATGAGGACTCCCTACCAGCTGGCTTTGTCACTGGCACACGACCCAAGTACCGCACCTGGAAGCGCTGGACCAGCTCGTTCTTGGGAGCTGGGAACTCTGAAGGAAGAAAGATCTGATTCAGTCATAATGGTATAATTTCATTATTATCCATTACAGTACTCACTTGAGAAGGTTGCAGATGATCAGTTGACTGCAATACACAATTTAAAAGAGGGACCAAAAAAACAAAAACAACATTTTTAGTGACAAAGCAGTATGTACAAACTGCACAGGAACAAACGCAGAGCACCTCTAGAGAACCAGCGTATGCAACATGCTTTGTTAAACACTGCTGATGTTAAGTTTGTGTTTTTGATCATAATCAAAAATAATTTGTTTCATCAAGATAAAGCCATCCAACATATCAAACGCACAAAAATTTAAAAGAAATAAAAATAATCTGAGCTCATTTAAAGTGGGGCTTTCTTAATGAGCAAATACACTTTGGAAGACTAGGATATGTTAATTCTATTTTACAAATGAATAAAATAGTCTAATTAAGTTCACAAACTAACAGAGTGGGTAAATGTACAGTAATGTATAATATAAGTTAAGTTCATTTTTAACAAACATCAACTATAATGGAAGAAATTAAAAAGGCTTTGTGACTTGCGGTGTAAGCAAGGCAAGTCGAATATATGTGGAACTGCACCTTTTTTCATAAAGTCAAAGACAGACTTTTGGAATGCATGCAGGTTTGGATCATGAGAGTGAGTGAATGATGACAACTTACGTTTTAGGGTAAACAGCACACAGATGTTACTAACTCTGGGTTTGCTACTGATTTCAGTCACGGTTCGGCATCTATGCGGAGTTTGGGGAAGAGTGATCAATTCTTCAGAAGAAAAGAAAAGCAGTCGAAGCTAGCACAGTATGTGTCACAATGCAAAGCCAGAGGAAGAACAACAAATAAAAAAGCACATTGCATAGTATATAAGCTCATTTTAGTGTTTTTTGATAGCATGCGTAATGTTTAGTGTCATTGGAGAGTGTAGTCCACATTACATCGATTACACTGAAAATCCAATCTAGGTAAATCACATTCAAACCCAGTAGTGCTAAATCACCTCTACAGTACATCTGCGAATGTAAACACACACAGAAAAAGCAAATGAAGATGTAATGTGATGCAGGTAAAACTTGTACTTTGTGATAGATAGTATAATGCAGTGCAGTATAATAGCAGTTAATGAGGACTCCCTACCAGCTGGCTTTGTCACTGGCACACGACCCAAGTACCGCACCTGGAAGCGCTGGACCAGCTCGTTCTTGGGAGCTGGGAACTCTGAAGGAAGAAAGATCTGATTCAGTCATAATGGTATAATTTCATTATTATCCATTACAGTACTCACTTGAGAAGGTGAGAGAGAAATATCTGATGCACACGTGTAGTCAAACCCAACACTGTCAACAGTTACATACTGTACTGCAGACCGTCCACAAACAAAAGCTAAATTCATGTCATTAGTTACCCTGGAAGGGGATGTCCCTAAGTCTTGAGGGGTCAGTGTTCAGTCTGCTGGACGACTTCCTCTGGGCCATTATCTAGGGATATACACAAGACAAAACAATATAAAACAAAACACATGGACATAATTGCATCGGCAGTTGCGTTCTCTATCTGGCTACTTGGTTGATCCAAACTGATCTAAAAGAGTAAGACACACAGGTGTTAACTTGATACTTAAATACTGATACTTGTGTATACAGAGAGTAAAAATAAATGACTAGAAAAACACCTAGTATCGGTTTCAATAATTTAGCATAAAAAATGAGGGGATGCACCAATAATAAATTTCGTTGGCCAGATGCTGGACTTGGCACTGGTGTCTGGAGCGATCACTGTCGTCAAACTGCCCTGGAGGTACAGTATGTGCACCAACCTTTTGCATAAGGAGCATGGCAAGTGTGAGAATTAGAGGTTGCTCTGTACCTGAAGACAAGCTAGTGATTTTGCATTTACTATTGCAGTAACTTCAGCCAGAAATTCTGCCATTTTCTGCTCCTCCCTCCTGAGACCATCGCCAACACAAGTGTCTCTCTACAAACACAAGGAAACTGAAACATCTGATGGATGTCTGTCATCATTGCATTTGGCTCAGGTCTGAAGCACATGAGAACCACAAGCTATTATTGAGGTCTGAACCGCAAAGGAGAACATTATTCAATGACAATCCACTGAACCACTGATTTAACCAGGTTTTGGAAGGTGCTATACTCCAAAACGTAGTAAGTACAGACATTCTTTGAAGTAGCAGCTCCTGTTGACAAAGATTTTTTCCATGACCCATCCTAAACTGTTGGGTGTAAGGTGCATTGTGATAACCACTGCAATTACCCTATACCCAGATAGACATGTGGCGGCATTCGGTAACGCGATATATCACGATAATGAATATGCACGATATTGTTATCGTGGGCACTTCAAAATAGCGTGAATAAATATTTATTACAAATTATTCAGATTTTTTAAATGCATTTTAAGAACATTTTTCCATGTAAACAAGCACGGATGAGAAGCGCATGGCGGAACATGTGAAGGAGACGCGCTGAATGAGAGCACATTCACTCTCTGACAGCAGATGGCGCTGAACAGCAGAAATGCAGCCGTTACCCTGGAAACCCCATAAAAGCAGCTGCACTACTTTCTAAAATGTATTTAAATGGTTTAAATAGCCATTCAGATTTTTGTATTTGCAGTGGTGTTCATCACAGTGGCAAGTACTTAAATATTTAGACTTAATAGGCTATTTATTTTCAGACTTCTTTTACGTTTTAATCTGGACTACAACATTCTCTAGTCTAGATATTGTTTGAAATTTTTTTGAATCTTTGTTGTTCGGTCACACTTTACATTAGGGCTTCATTAGTTAACATTAGTTAATT